GAACAAAACAGCGTTGGATGAAGTGGATTAAAGCCCTGCACGGGTCTCAAATATAGGCGCCAGCGGGATCACTTGCATTTTTTTCTAACAGTGGAAACAACTTAATACGCAGTTATTTTTGCTCATAAAGGTAAGAGTAATACATCATTCTAAACTGTAAAGGGGCTAGTTTTATTTGTGTGCACTCATAATATCAATAAAACATTGTGCTTTTATAAAATAGAGAAAACAAACGCTTTCTGCCGTCTCGGGACGCTTCACAACGATGAACCGAAACTCAGACATGATCAAAATATATAGAAAGCTTTAAATTACTACTTTAAAACGAAATAATTCAAATCAAAAATAGAAACTCTTTCATTAAAGATGCATTTCTCTCACGGCACGCACGTCCAATGAGGAGACGGCGAGTCGTTTTTTTCATCACCGTAATTGATTGATGGTCTAAAATATAATATAAATATAATATAATATAAAAAATAAGGAAAAGCCTAAAACAGGCCCGACTATAATTTGCGTTTTATTTTATAATTCCGTACAGTTAAAACATAAAACACTAATTATAATGGCATATGTGTAAAACTTTGTCCTTTAATTGTATAGCTGCTTATATTTTCAGATTTTTATGTTGCTCTGTTCTGAATATCTTACAATTTAAATTGCTGCAACGCAATTTTGTCTGATATGTGAATTATTTATTAGCCTTTTTTTTTAATCCATACAGCAAATGCTTTAAAAAAAATACTTTATTGCATTCCAGACGCATTTAAAGTGCTTTTCACTATAAATGCCCCTTAGCTGTTATAAATTCACTGTAAACCACGGCTTCTTATTGCTTTAATATCTGCTCCAGATCTTACTCTGTGAGTGTAGTTCAGGTAACAGAGTCATTAGGGTGATAAAGCACCCAGACGTCACTTCAACACAAGCCACAGCTGCTGGGATTTAATGCATGAAGCCCTGGGCTTGTTTTACACCAACTTTGATTTGAGAAGAAATTATGAAACCTTCTTCTACCACGCTACAATCCATCACGCTCCCTAAGGTCGCAAAACTCTGGACTTTTGGTAGTACCTAGGATAGCAAAGTCCACTAAAGGAGGTAGAGCTTTTTCACATTTGGCTCCCAAACTCTGGAATAGCCTTCCTGATAACGTTCGGGGTTCAGACACACTCTCTCTGTTTAAATCTAGATTAAAGACACATCTCTTTGGCCAAGCATTCAAATAATGCATATCATAATCTTGTACTGCAGTTATATCTGATCAAATGCACATTATTATTCTTTAGCTTGGGTTAAACAAATAAATTTTGCTTGGTTGGAACAGCAGCTACACTAATTATGTCTCTATTTGTTTCTCTATTTTTGCCACGGGATTGACATCGTCTGGATCCAGAACACCTGAGAAGAGATGATGCAAACCCCTCAGAGGACCTCAGATGATGCCAACCCTGAAACAACATACAGAACTACCACATTTTGCTATAAGTTTGATTGCATCATATAATAATTGCTGTTAATAATGTTCATCGTCTGTTTTATTACGTCTTAAATTGATTTTTCCGTACATTTCTGCCATATGTACATTAACTGACAGTCACCACTGATAAGCTACCACTAAATATTGTAGAAACTTAATTTGAACATTATAAATGTCTTTACTGGCACTTTTGATCAATTTAATGCGTCCTTGATTAATAAAAGTACTAATTAATTTTCAAATCAGCATATTAGAATGATTTCTGAAGATCATGTGACACTGAAGACGCTGAAAATACAGCTGCGCATCACAGAAATAAATTACAGTTTAACACATATTCACATAGAAAACAGCTGTTTTAGATTCTAATAATATTTCACAATTTTTACTGTATTTTTGATCAAATAAATGCAGCCTCGGTGACCAGACGAGAACATACTGTATGTAATCCTATGAGATTGTCCGGCGGCGCACGCGTAGGCGGACGCGATGACGTCACCGCGCGCAGACTGTGATGGCGGACGTAACCGAGATAGACACGATGAAGCACTTCCACGGCGGTTTCGAGAAAATCGACAGAGAGATGAGCCGTTATCCGCACTGCATCGTCTGGACTCCCATCCCGGTTCTGACGTGAGTAGCGACCGGAGCCGCTCTGACGTGTCACGCGGTTCTGTCATAAAACATCTCGGAAGTACGCGAGTATAAAGGCTGAACTGAGCTCACACGAGTATTGGATTATGAAAACAAAGTGGAAAACTTCAGCTGTGTGATCACTGTTGACATTCTCTGGTGGTGGTTGTTGTTGTTGTTGTTTGTAGGTGGTTCCTGCCCTTCATTGGTCACATGGGCATCTGCACTTCCGCCGGTGTGATCAGAGACTTTGCAGGGCCTTATTTCGTATCAGTGAGTTTATACCTGATGATTGAAAATAGTGTTTTCTTCACTGATGCACTGACTACTTTCATTTCTGTTTCCCACAGGAGGACAACATGGCGTTTGGAAAGCCAACAAAGTGAGTTTAAAACTAGTAAATGTGGTTATTCGTCATCATCTGCATGTTTCTGAAGTAGCGTGTGACTCATTCAACACTTGTTGTTTCAGGTTCTGGAAGCTGGATAGGAATAAAGTGTACGGCGGCGGAGCAAACGCCTGGGATTTGGCCGTGCACGAGGCGTCCGAGGAGTACAAAACCAGGATGGTAGGGCTGCTCGATTATGGCAAAAATCATAATCACGATTATTGAGTGGGCCACGTGACCAAAACTGTATACGAGTGACGAGAGATAGCGATATATATCAACTATATATTTTCTGTAAATAAGGCTGCTATGACATCTACATTTTAGAGAGAAAAAAGATACAAATGTAACAAACTGCTTTTTATGGAAGTCTAAAGTGTTCAGCGAACAGCTGCTACAGAAATTGAATAATTGAATGTAAAATAAAACAGCATAGTCTTCACTGTAAGAATTAAACTTTCTTTGTTTCTTATTAAAGCTACAAAAGTTCTTCAGTCGAGAGCAGAGAGTGATTTCTCTCAGTCTTTTGTTGTTTGATTAATATTAAGCACACAGCAGGAATATTAGGCTGCTGTCACTTTAAGAGCCGCACGGATCCAATTTACTGTTACACACGTATTCTCAACTGTTACGTTCACTTGTTACATAACCGACGAGGTATTGTATTTGAACGTTTAGACGCACCTTAAGCTAAAAGTTGACTTCTGTTCCGTCTCTGAGTGCACGCACAGAAATCCTCCTGAGGAGCAGCGATAGTTCTCTTTCACGCTTTTAAAAACATGAATAAATCTAATCAACTTTAATAAATCAAGCACGTGCCATTTTGCGAATGTCACGTTATGATTTTACAGATTCGCATGTGAAATCGGGCTTTTATGGAGGAGTGAAAGCGCACCGCTGGAAAGAGGGCAGAATGGGGCGCAATAATCGTTTTATCTCGATTACTGTATTTTCATAATCGTTGGAGGCCGAAATCGAAACTATTTTGATTAATTGCACAGCTCTACAGAATGCTCAGATCGTGCTTGTAGGGTGTTTTTCCTCAGACGGGATTACTAAAGTGCCTAAAATGTCTGGGTTTTGGTTGTTTTCCTGTTGATTTCATACTTGCTAGCGATGCACCGATATATAACCGATTATCGGCCGATAAAAGCAATTTATTTATTTATGATTGTTAGAAATCAGCCAATGATCAGGGCCGATTTATATCCTGTCAATCAAAAGTAAAATAACTGCAACTCCTACTGTGTGTGAAGAAAATCTCTCGGTTGAATTTAGGGCTGTCGAAATTAACGTGACGATATTAAGGGTTCGCACGTTAAAATATCGCAATTTTCACACGTTGTGACCTCACATTGTGTCAATGCTACGGATGCGGAAAACGCAGAAGCTCTTTAAAGCAGGATGGATTCTGATTGGCTGTCGATGATTTTATCGCTCATCAGCTGGGAAAAAAATTGTGAAAGTGATTCCAACGTTGTCGTTCCTCTGTGTAGTAACACTAAGTAACAATTTTTAAAACTAGACCTTTATCGTTATTGCTGTAGTTATAGTCCTTGGTGTGAACAGGCCTTTAGTCTGTACAAAAAAAGCTGTTTTATGTTGTAGCATATTTGTACCTGACACTGTTCTGTTGCGTTGTTTGCAGCACAATCTGTGTTGTGATAACTGTCACTCTCATGTGGCCATGGCTCTGAACCTCATGCGCTATAATAACAGCTCCTCCTGGAACATGGTCGAGCTCTGCGTACTGTCCTTCATCCACAGCAAACACGTCAGGTGAGGTCAGGACTTTCAAGTCAGTATGAAATGTAAATCTGTTTTTTGAATGCAAGTTATCGATTCATCCATGCATTTTTTTTTATACATGTTTTGACCTTGAAAACATGAATAAATCTAATCAACTTTAATAAATCAAGCACGTGCCATTTTGCGAATGTCACGTTATGATTTTACAGATTCGCATGTGAAATCGGGCTTTTATGGAGGAGTGAAAGCGCACCGCTGGAAAGAGGGCAGAATGGGGCGCAATAATCGTTTTATCTCGATTACTGTATTTTCATAATCGTTGGAGGCCGAAATCGAAACTATTTTGATTAATTGCACAGCTCTACAGAATGCTCAGATCGTGCTTGTAGGGTGTTTTTCCTCAGACGGGATTACTAAAGTGCCTAAAATGTCTGGGTTTTGGTTGTTTTCCTGTTGATTTCATACTTGCTAGCGATGCACCGATATATAACCGATTATCGGCCGATAAAAGCAATTTATTTATTTATGATTTTCCTCAGACGGGATTACTAAAGTGCCTAAAATGTCTGGGTTTTGGTTGTTTTCCTGTTGATTTCATACTTGCTAGCGATGCACCGATATATAACCGATTATCGGCCGATAAAAGCAATTTATTTTACTGTTGGCCGATTGTTAGAAATCAGCCAATGATCAGGGCCGATTTATATCCTGTCAATCAAAAGTAAAATAACTGCAACTCCTACTGTGTGTGAAGAAAATCTCTCGGTTGAATTTAGGGCTGTCGAAATTAACGTGACGATATTAAGGGTTCGCACGTTAAAATATCGCAATTTTCACACGTTGTGACCTCACATTGTGTCAATGCTACGGATGCGGAAAACGCAGAAGCTCTTTAAAGCAGGATGGATTCTGATTGGCTGTCGATGATTTTATCGCTCATCAGCTGGGAAAAAAATTGTGAAAGTGATTCCAACGTTGTCGTTCCTCTGTGTAGTAACACTAAGTAACAATTTTTAAAACTAGACCTTTATCGTTATTGCTGTAGTTATAGTCCTTGGTGTGAACAGGCCTTTAGTCTGTACAAAAAAAGCTGTTTTATGTTGTAGCATATTTGTACCTGACACTGTTCTGTTGCGTTGTTTGCAGCACAATCTGTGTTGTGATAACTGTCACTCTCATGTGGCCATGGCTCTGAACCTCATGCGCTATAATAACAGCTCCTCCTGGAACATGGTCGAGCTCTGCGTACTGTCCTTCATCCACAGCAAACACGTCAGGTGAGGTCAGGACTTTCAAGTCAGTATGAAATGTAAATCTGTTTTTTGAATGCATGTTATCGATTCATCCATGCATTTTTTTTTATACATGTTTTGACCTTGTAATGTTTAATCAAAACATCGTAACTGGATCTTCTCTCTAGTGTCGTATACAGGATTTCTCCAATCATTTAGTGCTCTTAAACTCACCTGCATTCACACCTCTTCACGAACCAGCTTGACAAATTCAAAGGAATCAAATTGAATCAAAAGATTCGTTCATGAGCTGGATATCACTATGATCGACTTTTGCACTTTTGAGTATCAGAGTAAAAGTATCAAATTTTTCTTATATCACGATACGAGTAATTTGATTTCATGGTAACGATATATATCACGATATAGCTATTTTTGCTTTAAATAAGGTCTTTTATGATATCAAAATTTTTGATAACTTAGAAATTTCATCGTTTTTGTCACTAGTGTCAATATCACAAAAAAAATAAAAATTAAAAACTCAAGCTCACTGAAGACAAGTAAACAGTCGGCGATTAAATAAGAATAATTACAAGCAATTGGACTAAATAAAAAAAAAAATACAGTAGAACAAAATAAGAAATGGTACATGCATTGTATAAAGTAATCAAATGTATAAAAACTTAATATATACATGGGTCAAAGACGAAAAAGGGTTTAAGCATAAAAACAATAAGTGTAATACTGCTTTAAATTGTTGTTGTTTTTCCCCAAAAATTTTTTAAAAAATTCTGTTTAATTTAATTGCAATTTTGTTTTTGTTTTTCGGAGCAAAAAATAAATATCATACATTTCCCCCTGATTTACAGAAGAGAGCCATTAAAATCATTCAGTGTAACAATCCTGTCAGGCATATTTACAACAAACAAAAATCAATTTATGACATATTAAAAGACTAATTACGTTCACCTCAAATACTAATTAGTTGTAATGTTAAAATTTCTCTATATAAAATGAGACTGAAAAAATAACAGTAAACCAAGATGAAAAAATATTTAAAAATAAATCCTTTGGAATAAAATCCACTGATAAATTGTTCACAATAGAAACATGAACTAAGAAAGTCCATTTAGATTTCCTGCTGACTTTCAAATAAAATCAAGCTATTCTTTTGAACAGGTAGTTATCTATTCTATACCAGAAACTAACTAACTGCTAACCACAAGATGATATCATTTACACAAGAAGTGTTTATCTAGCACAAAACAATGAGAATATGACCCTAGAATTAAACTGAAACAGGACAATTTACACAAAATATTAATAAATCTAAATAACAAGCAAATACTACACAACTGAACTGAAGTCAAATTTATAAACTTCAGTATTTAATAAATGCATATCATTAATAATTATTTATTAATACATGGGTCAAAGACGAAAAAGGGTTTAAGCATAAAAACAATAAGTGTAATACTGCTTTAAATTGTTGTTGTTTTTCCCCAAAAAATTTAAAAAAAATTCTGTTTAATTTAATTGCAATTTTGTTTTTGTTTTTCGGAGCAAAAAATAAATATCATACATTTCCCCCTGATTTACAGAAGAGAGCCAGTAAAATCATTCAGTGTAACAATCCTGTCAGGCATATTTACAACAAACAAAAATCAATTTATGACATATTAAAAGACTAATTACGTTCACCTCAAATACTAATTAGTTGTAATTTTACATTTTTTAAATGTGCCACTATCCTAGGTTTTGCCCGTTTGCCTGTTTTTACTAATTTAAAACACAATAAAATTTTATATGCTCTTATTCTTTTATATATTTTAATATGTACACGTCAGAATAAGCATGTTGTTTGAATTTTTACATAAATATTATGTTACACTGAATGACAATGTAACATTATTTCAATCAAATTTTGACATTTTATCTTTTTTGAAACCTTAAAAGTAGACACTTTACTTACATTTAATATGCTTTCTTTGGACATAAAATCACTTTTGTAAATTTATTTTGATGCGGATACCTCTTAACGTCTTTAACCCATATATAATTAAATATATATTTCTTCTTATTAAAGTTACAAAAGTGGTTTAGTCAAGAGCAGTGAGAAATTCTCTCTTTTGTTGTTTGATTAATATGAATGACAGACAGCAGGAATATTAGGCTGCTGTCACTTTAAGAGCTGCCCGGATCCAATATACTGTATGTTTAATATGCGATAAAGTAAAAGTAGAAGTCAGCAAACATATTTATACTCTAGTAAAGCACAAACATCCCAAAACTGCACTTAAGTACTGTACCGTATTTGTGCTTCGTTACTATGCATCACTGCTTTTATAGGTCTATTATTTCTCATTTACAAAAATAAGTTGCGCTTCTGTAAAGTGTGGTCTTTAAGCTTTACTGTGGTATATGACTGTATAGGTGACATTTCAAACAGCGTGGTACTGATGGAGAGGAGAGTGCACTACATAATGAGCAACTATCGCAGTATGCACTCACAACTGATTTTGAGCGTTTGATGTTTGCATGCTTATAAGTTAACATTGCAATGCTCGAATATGCATAAAAACACATTGCACATGCAAGTGCTTATAAATAAATGCAATGAATTATTAAGTATTTCTGCAGGTTTTATGAAGGCTTTTTTAATTTAAGCAATAAAATTAAGGGAACACAATATGCCAATATGGTCTTGTATTGGCAACGTTTCAAAGTTTGAAAATGCAATGTTCAACAGATCTCCATTACTTTTTAATTCAATGTCGAATAGCTTTGCTCCCAGCCGTCAGAATATGAAATAACTTTTACTGTGCCTCTGATCACAATACAAAAAAGTAATTTTCCGTAGTGTTTTTGTCTTGTTGTCCAATGCAAATGTCTAAAGATTCATAAATCAAGATGCATTTGGGTTAAAGACGTTAAGATGTCCGCATCAAAAGAAATTTACAAAAGTGATTTTATGTCCATAGAAAGCATATTAAATGTAAGTATTAAAAGTGTCTACTTTTAAGGTTTCAAAAAAGATAAAATGTCAAAATTTGATTGAAATAATGTTACATTGTCATTCAGTGTAACACAATATTTATGTAAAAATTCAAACAACATGCTTATTCTGACCTGTACATATTAAAATATATAAAAGAATAAGAGCATATTAAATTTTATTGTGTTTTAAATTAGTAAAAAAAAATCTTACTGACAAATGGGCAAAACCTAGGATAGTGGC